ATCCATCCATCCATCCATCCATCCTGTTAATGGGAAAATTAAGATCTAGTGCAGCCATAATCTGGTTTATTGATGTAAGAAAATCATATTCCTACTAATGTTGTACTGCATCTCACTCTTCTTTCCTAGGGTAATTTTAAACACACTGAGACACACAACCCAGTCTCCAGGGAAGAGCTGATGATGGTTCTGGCTAATCTGGAGCAGCTGCAGATCCGAGCCCTCTTTTCCCCAATTTCGTCCTCTGTGTCCCTGCATCGGGTGATCCTGGAGAGAACCACAGAGACCCATGGAAGCGTCCAAGCCAATAGTGTGGAATTGTGCCTGTGCCCAGCCAATTACAGAGGAGATTCTTGCCAGGTGAGAAAACTGTTTCCTCACTAATTCAGGCAGAGCAATGTTTCTTAACCTCAGCAACTAAGATGTGTGGATTTCAACTCCCAGAATTCCCCAGCCAGCACAGAATCTGCATGTTGAGGTCCATACATCTTAAAATTTGCTGAAGTTGAGCAATACTGATGTTAAGTAATCAGAATCCTCAGTTCATTGTATAAGACATTTGGGATTCATAATATGCTGCTCTACGCCATTTTGGAATGAAAGTTTTTGATCTTCAAGGTCTCTTCCAACATTATTATTATTAATAGTATTATTATTATTATTATTATTATTATTATTACTACTACTACTACTACTACTATTATTATTATTATTATTATTATTATTATTATTATTATTATTATTATTATTATTATAGGAAAAAGCTAGGATTGGTGAAGTTGAAATTGACAGATGTTGTTGAGATGGATAACTTATTTTATCACAAGAAAGACACACATTTATTGGTGATTGGAACTTAATGGGGTTTTCTCCCATAAAAATGAAAAAAATAAACGTGATTTTTGATTTTGATGATTAGACAGGACAGATTATAGAAAAAAAGAGTATTATGATATAACTTTAGAGAGAGAGGTTAAGATCTAATTGTATGTGTAACTGCCATGAAAAATATCAGAAGCCACTTCTCTCTTTTCTTTTCTATTTTACTTCAACTTTTTTTGTCTTTTCTTTCCTTTTCTTTTATTTTTTTCTTCCTTTATATTCATTTATATTAGTTTTTATCTTTTTCAAAAACTGTTCTATTAATAAATACTGTATATAAGGCAGTAATGGAGATTCTAGTCCCATTTGTTATATATATATAAGCAACCTAGAACTAAGGAGAAACTTCCTGACAGTTAGAACAATTAACCAGTGGAACAACCTGCCTCCAGAAGCGGTGAATGCTCCAACACTGGAAGTTTTTAAGAAGAGATTGGACAGCCATTTGTCTGAAATGGTGTAGGGTTTCCTGCCTGATCAGGGGGTTGGACTAGATGACCTCCAAGGTCCCTTCCAACTTTATTTTATACATACATACATACATACATACATACATACATACATACATACATACACACACACACAAACACACATACACATACAAATATATATACACACTTTTTATACACACATATATATGGCAAATAATAAAATGTGAACACCAGAAGATTATAAAATCATTAAAAGTTTTAATAAAACATTAAAAACTTTAAAAGGATTTTAAAAAGAGACCTAGCTTTCATTGGTTCCTACCAACATCATCAGGGCATAAACAACTCAATGGGAGAAACCATTTATAAACCAGCCAACGCCTGCGCCCGACCTCTAGACCTCGTAATGGGTCCCGGGTAGCCAATCATTGTATCCATTGTATCCTCGCTTCCTTTACCTGTACTCACATCGACATCCACACCCCATATATATTTATCTACAGAATATCTAATACATCCATATCTATATCTATACATGCTGTATATCTATAACAAATCTATCCATCTTTCTCTCTTTCTATCCATACCTGTCTATCTACTTGTCTATCTATCTTCCTCTTTCTTTCTTTCTTTCTTTCTTTCTTTCTTTCTTTCTTTCTTTCTTTCTTTCTTTCTTTCTTTCTTTCTTTCTTTCTTTCTTTCTCTCTTTCTCTCTCTCTAACACGCACACTTACACACACACACACACCTACCTGTCTGTCTGTCTGCCTGCCTGCCTGTCTGCCATATATGCTGGATTCAGGACCATTATTAAACCAGGACCAGAATCTACATTACTGTTTCCAAGCAACTCCTAAGTCTCCAAACTGAAAAACATCCTGAGAAACTGTCAAGTAAAATGAGGAATGTTAAGAGCCCCCACCTCCTGGGGGCATTCTGTGGTCTGACGCATATTATCTCCTTTGCAATTAGGAATGTGCTGTGGGCTATTACAGAGACACCAAGGGTCTATTTCTAGGGAAATGCATTCCGTGTGACTGCAATGGGCATTCGGATCAGTGCCTCCCAGGATCTGGAATATGCCTTGTAAGTAAACAATGATTGTTCAAGTCCATTTACCCCAGAGGTGCTCTCTCCAATAAATGCTGAGTAGTGATTTATTTACTTGTGCAGATATAGTGGAGGCAGAGCAAATTTCAGAGCAAACAGAATTTTTCCAGGACATTTGTCCTGCCTTTTATTTATTACATTTATATGCTACCCATCTCCCTGATAAGATGACTCTCGTACCTTTTCCAAATTATGTTGAGTTACTTTGAACTTAACGAACTCCTAAATGTATGCAAATAATGGCTCTGCTATTGGTTTATTCTTCTGTAAGCTTAAATAAAGGCAGAGAGAGGGGGGGGGAAGAGAGAGAGAGAGAGAGAGAGAGAGAGAGAGAGAGAGAGAGAGAGAGAGAGAGAGAGAGAGAGCGCTGTTGGCCAAATGCTACAGTAAATCTATCATGAACTTTTATTGGAATCAAATATATACTGAAGATTAGAACAATACCAACTCAAAGAACAAGACTAAAAATACAAGATTTAAACTGATACTGATAACTTATCTCAATAATAAACACATTCAGACTATAGACCTATCTCAAATCCCTAACTAACTATGTTATCGCTGCTTCTCCCCCATTGCCTAATTTTTAAGCTTCCTAGCTAAGGAACTATGTTCTTCTCTGATTATTCTATAAAGCATCATTTCCCATTAAATTCCCATAAATTCCCATAAAAGGCAAAATCGTGTCTGTGGTCAGGTAAGGAGTCTTAATTTCTGAAGATGCAGTTAGATTTACTGTTGAAGGATGTGTTGACAAAGCACGAATAGTTTGAAGATGTGAAATTAGCTTCATTATTTTTTTTCCTATATAGAATTGCCAACACAACACAGAAGGCGATCACTGTGAAAGGTGTAAAGATGGTTTTGTGGGCAACTCTTCACTTGAGGGAAACCTGCAATGCATAGGATGTCCCTGTCCTCTTTCAGTTCCATCCAACAAGTGAGTATCTTCCATGCATATAGTCCTCTTGTTTCTTTGGCAACACCCTGTGTTAGCTTCTTATTTGCATATGGAAGAGCATACAGGTTGTCCTCAACTTATAATAGGAGATGTGGTGGCCCAGTGGCTAGAATGCAGTATTACAGGCTAACTCACTGCTCACTGTCAGGAGTTCAATTCAGACCGTCTCAAGGTCGACTCAGCCTTCTGTCCTTCCGAGGTCAGTAAAATGAGGACCCAGATTATTGGGGACAATGTGCTGACTCTGTAAACCAATTGGGGCTGTAAAGCACTATGAAGCAGTATATAAGTCTTGTGCTATTGCTATTATAAGAGTTTGTTTAGTCACTGATCGAAATTACAGCAGCCCGGGGGGGGGGGGAAATTGACAATTTTTCGACCGTTGCAGCATCCCCATTGTCACATGATCAAAATTTGGATGCTTGGCAACTTACATAGTATTTATGACGGTTGCTGTGTCCCGCAATCATGTGATCCCCTTGTGCGACCTTCTGACAAGCAAAGTGAATGGGGAAGCTGGATTCACTTGGCAACCGTGTTACTAACTTAACAACTGCAGTGATTCCCTTAACAACTGTGGCAAGAAAGATCATAAAATGGAGCAAAACCCGTTTAGCAACTGTCTCACTTAGCGGCAGAAATGTTGGGCTCCATTGTGGTCGTAAGTTGAGGTCTCCCTGTATTTACTCCAGTTTGCTAATGCCATCAGAATCAAAGGGGCTCAGATGTAATTATGGGGTGGCTTTATGTGGTGCAAACTTTAATAGCTCTTTCCTCTTCCTTTCTTCCATTTTCATCTTAGCTTTGCCACGGGATGTATCTACAAAGGCTCTACCACGCAGTGTCTTTGCAAGCCTGGTTATGCCGGATTTTCCTGTGAACGGTACCGTGTAACTTGAATTTCAGCTATTCCAACTTGGCTTGCTTAAGATCTGACCCATGTAAGGCAGGGTGGGGCTGCTCCGTTCTTCGCTGGTGGGATCAGGTCACCAGTGAAGGACCTTTACATTGCAGATCTGTAAGACCTTCTTCTTTCCACCAAAGGTGTGCTCCAGGTTACTATGGTAACCCTCTCGTGATTGGCAGCTCCTGCCAGCCCTGTGACTGCAGTGGGAATGCTGACCCCAACATGCTCTTCAGCGATTGTAACACGTTGACCGGGGTCTGCACAGGCTGCATGTACAACACCGCAGGGGCCCGATGTGAAATTTGTGCTGCTGGATTTTACGGCGATGCAGTGGTAGCAAAGAACTGCACCGGTAGGTCTACAAACCCAGACTCTTTCCTGGGTGCATTCACACGCACAACGATGTGTTAAAAAAAATGAAACGCTAGTCTCAACAGTTTTATAGTCTATGTTACATTTATATCCAAATATTTTTGCCCTTTTTATTCAAAATTGTTCGCAGAGCATCTTGAAAAAGATAAAAAAAACTGGCGTCAGTTTCACTGTATAAACCTGGTGAAATTTTTTTCTCCGTAGAAAATACAGGTAGTCCTCGACTTACAACCATTCAGTAACCATTCCAAGTTACAATGGCGCTGAAAAAAGTGACTTATGACCATTTTTCACACTTATGACCATGCCGGATCCCTATGGTCATGTGATCAAAATTCGGGCACTTGGCAACTGGCAGGCATTTTATGACCGTTGCACTTCCGTGGGTCCTGAATCACT